TTTATATTCGTGTTCAACCGTAAAAGCTACATTGGAAAACATATGTCACAGTACCAGCACAGATTTTCTTTGTAGATCTGTGTAATTATGAATTATAAGAACAAACTCTAAAAAGTTTTACAATACACTAACAACACATAATTGCACCACCCACAAAATGTAACATTTCTAGTTTTTTTACTGTACTAACTCCATTCAACACATTTTATTTCAGCTGACACTTTTTCTAAAATGTCGGCAGCGGCAGCGGCTGTAGCTGCTGATAACTACTCGAAAATGGCAGCTAGCGCTGTGGCAGCTGACACATATTCGAAAATGGCATCTGGCGGAGACTATTCAAAAATGGCAGCCGAGAATTATTCCAAAATGGCATCACAAAACGACCCAGGAATATGGTCCCAGAGCAACGGCGCTTCAGCGGCTGCTGCTGCAAACGCGGTGGCCGCTTACCAAGCATACAATCCTTTCCACAACAATGTGCCTCCTGGTGATGTTTTTGCACAACAGGGATACGCAAACTCGGCGAACAAGTACTGGGTATGATGAGCCTAATGCACAGACTATTATTATGAAAGGATTTGTTTATATATCATATCGAAGTGACATTTAGTGACACGTTAGTTAACTGTTTAACACGTTGAGTCCGGCGTCGGTTCATAGACAACGATAGTCAACTTTCCATATGACCGGCGTCAGCCCCGAGCACCATCACTAGAATTTTTCTCTTGATGGTTTGTGTGAGTGACAATAAAAAATAAAATTAGTCTTAATGAAAAGCTATCAAATATAATTTTAATGAAATTTATTGGAAAATTATAAACAAAAATGTGTTACATGGTAAACGTTATCGACTGTTCGACAACGCCCGCTGAATGGAGAGGACTGCAAGTTTGGCGCCGGGCTCAACGTGTTAATTCAAGTCCGATTGTTATGTAGTCTGTGAATTAATATTTAAAACACCAATTAGTAAAGGATCAGGTATTGCTTGCATGTAAATTGATTATTCTCTTGAAAAATTAAATAACCTATTTATAGAAGTCTCACGCAGCATGAAATATATGGTTCATGTGATTAAAATCAATCAATATTGACAATCATAAACCTGTGAACAAAAATATTATATCTTAATATAATACAAATTAGTTTTATAACGCTAAATATACATATAAGGGTGATACTAAAGTAATGTATTTTCTTACAAATTTATGTATATGTGAAACTTTTCCTATATATTAAATTTTATGATTAATTTTATGGTATGGAATGCAACAAAATATGTCGTACCTGCAAAAACTTGTGAGGTCTTTGAAAAAACTATAGGCACATAGAACATGTATATAGATATATCTAAGTTTGCGTGTATGACTGAGTTCATTGAATATGATACAAAGACTTTGATTTTAGTAACACTTTTGTCCAAAATCACAATAGTGCCTAATATGTAGTGCCTTGTGATGAATGAAACGATGCGGCCAATTTATAAAGTGATTCAATACATTATCAGTTATGTAACAGATATATATATATATGTATATATATATATATATATATATATATATATATATATATATAACTAATAACGTACCTTTCAATAACATTGTAAAAGTTTAATGATTGAATAGATATAATTAGGGTATTTCGTGTACAAATAAATCAATTTCAAATACTGGTATTAATATCAAATATTAGGTAACGTATGTGTTGCTTCAAATCGCCTAGCATATTTTTCTGTAAGAAATTCAATGATGTAATTATTTTTAGCTTATATCTTACATATAATTAGCGTAACATATTTTCTTGATTGATAGCGAACCCGGTATTGTAAATTCTGGCTGTTATGCTCATTTATAAATCCAATCAATTAGCAAACTTCAAGTTGATAAGTTCAAACTGATAAGTTATTCATAAATAATTAAAACGTTTTATATTTGAAAAAGTGATTTTTTAGATATTTTTTAATTTATTGTTGAGCAAAACTAACAAGTCCTACGAAGGCTTATTAATTTTTTGTCGATTTTAATTTTGCTAAATTATATTTATAAAATTTTTTGAAATAAAATTTTTTTAGATGTTCATAAATTTTCGGAAATTAAATTAAATAATGAAGCTAATGACTTTCACAACAGTCCAGATAGTTTGTACAAGATAAAATTATTTTAATTGTAAAGTAATTGTATATATTTAGTTTTAGTTTTACGAACTGCAGGTATGAAATATATTTTTAAAATGTATTATAAATAACACACAGATAAAAATCATTCATTAATATATATTGTATTACTTTTGTGAGTATTATCAAAATTTCACTACAATGATAAGCAATTAATAGTAAACTAGTTTGAATCATAGTTTGCAAATTCATGACTGCGTGTTGCAGATGCATTATATGATAATTGTAAATGAATTATTGCTCGAATATAAATACGATTTCTATATTTATATGTCTGTATTAAAATAGCATAATATTATATTATAATTATATAATTTAAATAAATGCATTAGAAGAAATCAGTTTTTTAATTGCTTTATTATATTATGATTTTAATACTCGTAACCTATTGTGGTTAGCTATGTTTTAATTTGTGTCACAATTAATAAGTTGGTTATTTGAACATTTTAAATGAAATCGATATTTGCAGCGAGTGTCAAAGAGAAAGAAGATACAATAGAAATGTTTTGGTAATATTATGTTACGGGTCTATCTTCGTATGAATTGATAATATGAACTATCAAAAACTGTATTTGCTGTGCGAAAGACGTTTTACACATAAAACCTGACTTTGCGTATGTGTTATAAAAGAGACATGAGAAAGTTGTACTTCTGATAAAATTGTTATTTGACGTTTGTGAGTTTTCTAGGTTGGGTTTTATGAGTAAAACGCCTGATTGCACAGCAAATACATAGCGTTTTGACAGTTAGTTACTACCAATTCATACGAAGATAGCCCCGTAAGATAGCCTTGCCATAACATTTCTATTTTATTCGACATTTGGCTCCTTAATAATTTTAAAATAAGATTGTTAATGTTAATTAATTGTCAACCAAAAATATATAAACCATTTATATTTATTTTACTCATTTCAGTTATGGCTAATCAATAGAATATTGCACCAAATACAAGTTAGGGCTCGCCCGTAGGTGAGTGGTTAAGAGCCACGGGAACTGGATCAGAGGTTCCGGGTTCGATACCCACTTCGAGCAGCCTGTTGTCAGGCAGCAGTGACAACGATTTTCACTTGGAAATATAGATAGCAGTATGTTTCCAAGTGAAAATAGCCCTTGTCCGGCATTTCTGCACCAATAAAAAGTCAGCCCTATTAGATTAATTCTAATAACAAAAATCATCAAATATGGATGGATTTACCATTGGGTTACCATCTAAAAAATACAAAGTAAGAAGAAGTTTTCGCCTAACAGCTCATAGGACGTTAGGTTCTGATTGCTGTTAAAAATATATAAATAAAAAAAATACAAGTTAAAAATACAATAATTCTTATTATATATATCAAGAAGTCCTTAAATCTCCGTCGGACGCAGCCGATCTGACACATATAGCGCCAATATTTTACGTTTCTTTATTATGTGATGTCATCGAGATCCCAGATTTCAGTAGTCTCGTTATTTTATGTGTACTATTCATTCGTCTACATTAGGTTGCCTAATTTGTTCCGAGAAACGCTCTAAGCAAACTTTGTTTGACGTACAAAATGACAAAAAATTGTAAGTTTTTATTATCCTAATTGTTTATACAGTTTTTGTATAAACATTCTAATAGAATCTGTCATTTTTTATATAATTAATTAAATTAATTAGTTCAGAAAAAGTAAGGTTTGTGCTTCAATGTATTTTGAGCACGTACAAAAATTTATATTATAAAAATAATAGGGCTCGCCCGTAGGTAAGCGGTTAAGAGCGACGGGACTTGTTTTAGAGGTCCCGGGTTAGATACCCACTTCGAGCAGCCTGTTGTCAGGCAACAGTGACAACGATTTTCAGTAGGAAATATTAATAGCAATATGTTTCCAAGTGAAAATAGCCCTCACCCGGCATTGTTGCACCATACTTGCCCTATTACAGAGATTGTAATTAAAAAAATTTCATACAGAGATGTGACAACTGTTTGGGTTGCCATCTGTAATAAAACAAACGTAGTTTGTAAGATATTAATCACAATAGCTCATAGAACCCATAAGTTCTGATCGCTGTTTAAATAAAAAAAAATTAAAAAATAAAAATAATATTGATCAAATTTATATTTTGCTTTTATTTGCTCATAAAATACATATTTAGTATTATAAAAGCGCCAATTAAATATAAGTATATAATACTATGTGCCTCCTTTGAATATACAGTAGAACTCCAATTATCCGAATTAATGGGGACCGGGACCGATTCGGATAATCAAATACTCGGATAATCAAATATTCGGAGTTTTTTTTTTTAAAAATTGCCATTGGAGAGAAAAAAGTTACGTTTTGGATTGCACTATTTTTTTATTGAATTAAATGAAAGAAACATGACATTTTCACATGTTTTAAATATGAATAAAATGTACTTATGTACAAGTTTAGAAATAAAAATCATTGTTTTGTAAACATCTCCGTCAAATCAAAACAAACAATGTGCCTACACTGGCTTTGCTGGTGGAAGAATAATAGCGCACTTAGACTTTTTTGGACAATTTTTTTTCTGAAAGTGATTCGGATAATCGGCGATTCGGATAGTCGGAGTTCGGATAATTGGAGTTCGGATGATTGGAGTTCGGATAATTGGAGTTCTACTGTATTTAAAATCTGTGTCTGTCAGATACACTGCGCCCGATTCTGTACATATTTGGACAGCACCCGACAGAGGGTTAAGAACAAATACGTTGGAAGAATTTTTATACGACGTAAGTCGAAAGTATCCGAATAACACTTCGTACCGATATGCCCAAATCAGAAAAATAAATAATATTAAAAGTACATATTTTAGTTACGATTTGTCGGTTGCTTGGGGCGCTTGTGTTTTTGCACATATTTAATTGTGCCGACGCGTTGAAAATGTTATGGTAGTTATTAATGTAACCTTATAAAAATATATATTGCAAAACGTAATATATTATATATTTATGGTTATTAATAAAAATTCATTATGATGAATAACACGGGAGATCGTTTCGTACCTCATGTACATTTAGTTTCACGGTGCAAAAAGAATGCGGGTTGCTTCTTTTATATTTAGAAGTTTATATTAGATCTAAAATATTTAAGCAAAAATTATAGTTAATTATACACATAAAAATAAATCATGTTACCATTAATATGTTTGGGACAGCATGTAAATTAAGTGCGTACGAATGAATTCTCAAACAAACATTTGTAGCATGTGTATGTTATTGTTATTGCTTTATTTTTCAATTTGACGGAATAAATAATTTATGACAAGTGTGCAGTAATTAAATAGACAAAACTGTACTATGTGTTCAAAACTTTGTGGTGAAGTGGAATAAGTGGAGAGACCTTGAATCTGTCTCTAGACTAATTTATGGGGCTTCTTGATGAGTGGTGAGTTCTTATTTCAATCAATTTTGTTTTATGGTTATAATTTCTGATGATAAAATATATTGTTACCGAGTCTATAAGAGTGTATATATATATATATATATATATATATATATATATATATATATATATATATATATATATATATTAGGTTGTCAAATATCTCCCTTCCGCTTTTTTGCTATTGGTTTATAATACAAAAAGGCGGAAGGGAGATATTTGACAACCTAATATATATACATCAATTCATGTTAGATATTATATCATATCTAAATTTATCAGACCGCAAGACAAGTGACACAACTCAAAAATGTTCAGAAATAACTTTTTTGCTCATTATATTCCAATTAGATTAATCATAAACTCTGAAAATTCTTCTAAATTTAATTTTTATAATTAAAATAAATAGCAAATATAGAACAATGACATAAGTTATCTTTTACCACTGATTCGAAACAATCTGCCAGCTTCTCGGTGCTGAATTCCAACAAAAACGTACCTGCAGTAAATATCATATTATTGAGCATGTTATGCAATTTGTTTGATACGAATTTGTGTGCATTGAAGAACATACATTTACAATAATATTTAAATTTATTTTCTGTAGCATGTTAACCCTCCGTCGGTCGGATATTTTTTCACCTTCGAACGGTCGGAAAGGTCTGGCTGGACCACCATTCATTTTACATGCATTTATATGGGATAAATGAGTTTTTGGTGTCTTATATATTAACGATTATATAAAAAAATCAAGAAATATAAAAAAATCGTTGTTTTTTTTTGTTAATTTTTCTGTTTTAAATCAATGAAAATCAATATTTATTCTTTTTCGGCGCCTTTGAAATGAATGTGTGCATTACTCATCCGATTTTCAGTGTTTGCGATTACCAATAAGTTTGGTAGGTTTTCAAGGAACTCTTGTCATGAAAATACTAACATTCATGTTAGAACACATAGCAAAGAATATAAACAACGCAGTTTGAATATAAAATACCATGAAAAAAGACAAAATACTGGTTTTCATATATCAAAAAACGTATATTTCATACAAAATGTATTGGTGGTCTAGACAGACCTTTCCGACCGTTCGAAGTATAAAAAAGTACTTTTTTGTTGTTTTCAGGCAGCAGTGACAACGATTTTTACTTGGAAATATAGATAGCAATATGTTTCCAAGTGAAAATAGCCCTTGCCCGGCATTGTTGCACCAATAAAAAGTCAGCCCTATTAGATTAATTTTAATAACAAAAATCATCAAATATGGATGGATTAACCATTGGGTTACCATCTAAAAAATACGAAGGAAGGAGAAGTTTCAGCCCAACAGCTCATAGGACGTAAGGTTCTGATTGCTGTTAAAAATACAATAAAAAAAATCAGTTATTAATAAGGTAATTCATATGATGTGAATTTCTGCATATAATTAAGATAAAGACATAATAACTCTGCGTCTATTGGCAATTTATTGTCTAATTTATAGTAATCAAATATATTTGAGTTGGTTGAATTTATTTTGGTGGAATTTCTGGTACGCAATCATCTCCTTTAAGACACTTGAGTTGTTCAGTGTCGAATTGTAAGCCAGTTGGACAACTTTCATGAGTCATTTTCCATTTTCTGTCTACTACGTAACATACATAATATTTCTTGCAGTCCTTGCGATCGGCGAAGGGTCCACGCTTGCGGCAGATCATTCTAATTTGGAAGAAAATAAAGTATCAGAATATTTATGGACAATAATTTTTATTGTAATAAGAAATTCAGTAGCGAAGTATCATCAATTTATTGGAAACGTATAAGGAAATTTGACTTCGAGGTTTAAAGAAAATATGTATAAAAAAAACTATGTTTCAAATGCAAAGTAAAAAGTTTATAAGAAAATATTTTAAACATTATTTTTGCGTATATATATATATATAGAGTAAGAATGAATTTAAAAAATATATGTAAACATTTCATTTACTGTATATGATTAATATACAAAACATGTATTTAAGATCTTTAAATTGGTATCATATTTTGTTGCTTGTGGTTTGATTTGAACGTATATAAAATCAGTAAAAACTTATTTTGAAGGAAAATTTTTTGATGAAAATTGAATGTTGAAAAATAATATATAACTATATCATTTAAATTATCCATAATGGTTCAAATATCCGAATGTCTATTAATGTACCGTTAATGAATCTTTATTATGAAAGTGAGTATGACAACAAGCGTGGGCTAAATATATTTTATCACAGTGCTTGTTTAAATCATTTTTTCTAAATTTACAGAACTATATATATAAATAAGCGTGAAAGGTAAAATAAGTTGTAGAAACTTAGTAGAATTTAGTATTATATTATATAAATAATTAGAGATCTTAAAATATTTTATATTATATATTTTTTTTATGTTCTGAACAACAATCAGATCTATTTTTATATATATATATATATATATTTTGTAGAGTTTCGAACAAGAATCCAAAAATAATACAAAATAAAAAACAAGAAAAGTTTTTAAAAAAACAATTTCTTTATTTAATTATTTGTTTATTGTCGACGTTTCGGAACTAGGTACGTTCCATCTTCAGGACATCTGTATGTTTGAATATTTGTTAGCACTTTTTCACTAAACAAGCTTTTTTAACAAAAATGATTTTGTGAGTTAATTTTCCGCCGAATAATTAGATTTTGTAAATCAAAATTACTAAAAAACTTTGTCTTTTTTAAAATTATTATTTGAAAACACAAATAATATTGTTCTCTGGATGTTGTTCGATTGGTTTACGAAAATTAACTTGTTCAAGGATTCTTGTTCGAAACTCTACAAAATATACACAAATCCAAGACTCTACCATTCAATATATATATATATATATATATATATATATATATATATATATATAGAATGTATATATAGAATCTCTGTTTGTTCAATATTTATTAAATACTTATTTTACCCTCCGTCGGTCGGAGTGGTCTGGCCAGACTTTTTCCGACTTCAATTAAAAAAAATATACTTCTAGTGATCCTATCGACTTGAAATTTCTTGACGTTTCCTAAAATTTCATTAGCTGTCGATCAATGAAAAAATCAGGACGAAAAAATTCTGGAGATATCGGGAGAATGATAATTATAAGGATATTAACTTTTTTACACCTCGAACGGTCGGAGTGGTCTGTCTAGACCACCATACATTTTGTATGAAATATGACGCGTTTTGATCAGTCTTTTGTATTTTTTTCTGGTATTTTCTATTCAAACTGCGTTTTATATATTCTTTGCTATGTGTTGTAACATAAATGTTAGTATTTACATGAACACATATGAAAATGCCTTGAAAACCTATCAAATTTATTGGCTATCGCAAACATTGTAAATCAGCGCACATTATCAACAATTTTTCTACCAGTACTGCGTTTGAAACTTTTTTGGTAAACCTGTAGCCGTATGCAATTAAAATTATATTTTCACGTTGAGTTACTGCTCATTTCAAAGGCGACGCACCTCATTTCGTTTTCATTTGAATTTCACATTCATTTCAAAGGCGCCGAAGAAGAATAAATATTGTTTCTCATTGATATAAAACAAAAAAAATTAACAAAAAAAGCAACGATTATTTTATATTCTATGATTTTTTTTGAAATATATTCATTAGAGGTAAGCTCAACACATGCAAAAGACGGTAAGAAAAAAAATCAAACCTATAAATATTTATTACTAATAATCGATAATATATAAGACATCAAAAACTCATTTATCCCATATAAATGCATGTAAAATGAATGGTGGTCCAGCCAGACCACTCCGACCGTTCGAAGGTTAATAAATATTTGACCGACGGAGGGTTAACTATCTCTTAGCAGATGAAAATACCGCAGTGTCAAGCGAGTGTAAATTTAATTATATAGAATTCATAAATGTGCTCAAAATGATAAGAAAATATCAGCAAGTAATGATGACTTATTTCGTCGCTTTGAATTGCATATTATGTAATATATGTAATAACTATTTAAAATATTTGAGTAATGATTTACCCGCATCCAAAGGTTTTTGGATTGAACCATTGGTTGATCTCGTCCTCGCAACGGAACACGGTTGTCTTGTTGGTTTTGGCGTCGCACATGGCGTATATAGATCTGTCCGGAGCGTAGGTGGCGAATAACTGACCGGGGGGACACGTGAGTACGGCGCAGTCCGCCTCCGTCTTCTTTAGCTTGCACATCGTGGTGCTGTGGTCATACACGTATTGTTCGGGGCACATGTAAGGGGTTGCGTCACCGCCGGCCTTGCTGCAGTAGTAATATTTAGTGCAGTCACTTGCATCTGTGAAAAAATACTTACGTTACAAGTATTCACGAAGTATGCTTTATTACAATTAATACAAAGATGATGCAAAATTTGCGTTGTAGTCATAAGTTTTTTTTTATTATTTTTATTGGCTTTGTTTACTCGAGCATTTAGCCACCTTCATTATTCTATACAATCATATATCCTATGTAATCTTTCAATTTTTTATACTATCTCTTTCATATAATCCTATTCTTTCTATATTTCTCAACTTATCTTAATTCTTCTTTACTATCTTCTGAACATTTCTCTATCTTCTTCTTCTATAATTCTCATTTCATCTTCTAAACTCTTCTTACTTCAATTCATTTTAATTCTCATTCTCTAATTTTTTATACATTCTGATTATTTTTACATACCTATCTTTTTTATTCCAATTCATAATTCTATTATTATTCTAACTTAACTACTTTAATATTTTTCAAATTCTTGCCGGAGATTCGAACTCAGAACCTCCAGCATGTGAATCAGGAACGCTACACTTGAGCTAATCCCGCCACTAGTCATAAGTTTAATATACATAATTTAGCTCAATATATAATATAATATAGTGCACTGCCTTCAAGGTGCACTATTTGAAGGCCTGTTAATTTGATTCGGGGATGTAGTTTAGGTTGTCAAATATCTCCCTTCCGCTTTTTTGCTATTGGTTTATAATACAAAAAGGCGGAAGGGAGATATTTGACAACCTAATATATATTTGGGTTGTTCGGAAAACAACTTTGTTTTTATAGACATTTTGGCACGTATTTTCGTACAATAAACAATTACTTTAATAAATTATGTATTGGCAGTTTTGATCGAACATCTTTTGTCATATTTCTGGTATTAGCGTTATTCCGAGAACATAAATTTTTTGGTCGTTATTGACAAAAAATTGATCAAAGTGCTTTTTGACATGCTGGTTTGAGGTAAAAGTTTTACTGCCTAAAATTGTTTTTATTGGCTGGAACAGATAATGGTCCCATGATGGCAGGTCTGGAGAATATCATGAATGTGTCATTGAGTCCCATTCAAGCTACAAAAGCTTTTGGCGATTGACCAAACTTATGTGTATATACTTTGCGTGCGGGTTAATTTTGAACTTCTCTATTGAAGTATATCATTTAGTTTATCCAGCTAATGACATAAGGCATTTGAATTGCCCGTATGTTATCCTGAAAACTCTGAAAAATGAACAACTTCTTTAAAATATTACCAAAGAAAAGATACTGTATCACCTTTTTAGCAAACTTCGGTTTTGCACCTGTTTTGAGCGGGTTCTTTTTTGTTTCATGGGCAATTGCGTGTATTGTATTCTTTACATCCCATTTTACATTCCTGGTGACAATTTGCTTCACAGCCTGATAATTTTCAGGACTTTTGAGAGGCAAATCGCGGACGCTAGTGCGACGACACACGTTTCTTTCTATGAGAACCATACATTGAGTTTCGAAGAAAATATCCGACCATTTGAGTGGTCATTAACTGTTAAATTTAATGAATTTTAATTCAATGGAATATCATGTATTGTTAACTGCCGGTTTGCATCAATTAATGCTTTTCTCGCGTCTTTATCAATTTCAACCGTACTTATTGGACTTCAAAATATCAGAAATGAAATTTAGCATGGGATCTCAGCGCTAATAATCACATCGTCATCCTGATCTGTAGTTATTTTATTATATAGCCAGATTAGTATACATCCAGATGAACACAGTTTCAAATACTTCATGTTGTACGATAAAATTCTAGAACGATTTAAGTTTTTGTCGGAACACACGTGCTATAATGTTATGTAATTACGTCTGATTGCCCAGGAAGAAACAGCTGATGTATCTTGTCCTAAGCCGGATTGCATGTAAAAGTGGTAAATAAATCTGGACATTAGCATTGCATCTTAAGTATACTCTTGTATGTTACGTAGACTGCCAAAATATGAAGATTGCATACTTTGCATTCCCACACTCAACTGCAGTCATTCACAATTGCATAGTGCTTAGTCCGTTTTTGTCTCGTACAAAAGATATTGATTATATTAGTAAACTTATATTGAACTTATTCATAAAATATCGTATAAGTTCTATTCACAATCTACTTTTGTTTTTGCGATAGTCTGTAAAAGTCGCAGTCAAAAGATCTGATATTTGCGGTCGGTGATATGTGTCTTATGCAAATAGTAGATAAAAACAATTCTAAATGAGGATTATATTTTGGGCTAAAATTTTAGATCGATCGGTGCAGAACTTTTTGAGTTTTTTTAAGCAATTAGCAATGATCAATATATTTTTAATATTTAAATAATATAGTTAATTTATCATCTCGCTAGTTTATTTTAATCCTTTTCTATGATAATTTTATAACAGTGAAAAAATATTACCGGGCATGTATCCTTCAAATGTGCAAGAAATACCGGATGCCTTTTTACAAGTTTCATCTTCCTCGTCTGGTTCAGGAGCGCATTCGTTTTTAACGCAGAATGGATTCTCTGGACTTTGTTCAGAACATGTGATTTCAAGCATTGGTTCTGTTCCTTGGCCATCGCACATCTAATCAAGAAGTTTGTATCTTATTACTGAATTCAGTATTGTTAATTAAGTTAATTTATACATAAACATATATTAGAAAAAATACATTGAAGCTTGAGTTTCTCAAAATGTTAGCCCTCCTATTGGTTACCGAATGGAGAATTCTATAAATCGTAGAAGACATATAAATTCAGTCACATTTTACAAACCTAATTGTTTAAAAAACAGTGTTCCTGTTATATGATAATTATTAATGACTAATTATTTTGGTAATTTTACAATTATTTTTCCGAATAGATCCTCAATGGTTGATGTTTAGTTGTGAACTGTTATTTTATAATAGTTTTATTTTCAATAATAAATACTAATAAAATTTTATCATATAGATTATTATATATTTCTTTTACCAAAAATGGACAAAAGGTCTATATTTAAAATAAAACTTATTTTTGATTTAGCTATATTTTTGAGTGTTAATGAACATCCGCAATCGAGCCCAATATCTAGTAGATTCAAGCGCGCACGCTCAATCATTACCAAGGGCATAAAAATAGCTTATTAGATTTTAAAATCTTACCAAGAGCGTGGAGCAGTCTTTGCACAGCCCACCAGCTGTTCCAGCTTTACAAGACTTTTCTCCCGATGGTGCTGCGGTCGTAGCATCTGGAGCTGCAGTTGTAGCTCCTCCTGCTGCGGTTGTTTCTCCTCCTGCGGCGGTAGTTGCATCAGGTGCTTTCGTTGTGGCATCAGGAGCTTTTGTTGTCGCATCACCTGCTGCTGTTGTTGCATCAGGAGCTTTTGTTGTAGCATCAGGCGCCTTCGTGGTAGCATCAGGAGCCTTTGTGGTAGCATCAGCTGCTTTTGTGGTGGCATCAGCAGCTGTTGTGGTTTCAGGCGCATTTGTTGTTGTGACTGCACGAGCAAATCTGGATCTCGTCATTGGTATGCCTTCGACATATTCAGGCAAATCCCAACTTGCAGCAGCTACCGAAAACTATAAACAATTTAAATTGGAAAATTATATCAATGTCCGACTCACATGCATATGAATTTGAGTTATTCGGTGAAAATTGAATAGAATTTGAAGTAAGAAAAAAAAAAGGAAGACAATGATTTAAAAAGATAGATTTAGAAGAAAAAGAAGAATAAACAAATAAATAAATGAACTGAATGGAGCAGACAAATTTTATTTGTAGAAAAAATGATTGGATAGAATAGGTTATATATCAATATAGTATGTCATAGAAGAAAAGGAGAATAAGATATAGGAGAAAAAAAAATATTATTTTTTTTTTATTATGTACTATATAGTTCAATGATTCGAACTCCTGCCAAACTCGACATCAGGCAGCAATATTCTTCATTGTACAATTTAATGTTAAATATTCCAAATGTTAAATATTCCAAATGTAGGAATACCAATGTACAAACTTGATTTTACAATTAAATAATTAAATTGTTATAAACTGCAGGGTACCATGGGTTTATATAAATTATTATACCTTTGATATTAAATTAATTCTTTACAAAATATTTTTTTTAAATTTTAATTACAATCTGTCACACTTATAGGACATTCAGTAATTGTTTTGACTTTTCTTATTATATGAATTTTGAATGGATGGCAACCCAGCAATCGAGTCCAATTCTGCAACAATATTGAACGATATTCTTTGTTTTCATTATATATTTTTAACACACTATTCAGCAATTGTAACATTTACTAACAACACTTGGAATATTTAATAATAGCTTTTTGTCCGCTAATTATCAGCATTGAAAAATTTGTATAAATTTTGCAAATATTTTCGTCATCGCGAGAAAAATTTAGTAATAGTAGTCCACTTTAATTTTGTTAACAATAAACAAATATTCGTGTACTCACAGCTGCTACGAGAACGATAGCAAGAAACTTCACCATTGCTGGTTAATTGCTGATTTTGCACTAATTAACTTTTTCATATTTTTATTGAACTGCTTGTATTTATAGGCTCTTTTGGTAATTTTGATCCAAACATTGCAGGGGAGTATCACTTTACTGATTCCATCTGCTTTTCTATTTTTTTTTATATATAATGGGTAGTACCGCCTTAGGGCAGGTCCGCGAGCTGAGTTAAACACCAACTCAATTCAGGAATGAATAGTGTGAGAGATTTCCCATTGCCATTTTACATCGCAGTGCCCGAGATGAGCTTATTTTCAAATCAGTCGTTGGCAAATTTGTTTAGATAATTTTAAAGACGATCACAATTTTGAAATTAGAAAGTGTATTTACAAGCCAAAATTTAAAATTAATTCACCATGCAGCTGTTGTTTTGTTTAATAAATTATCTATTTTTTCCAAGTTAGATAATAATAGTCATCAGTTTATTTTTGTTTAGACAATAAATAACTATTATCTATTAAAATATTATCAATAATAATTTGAACCAAAATAGGAATTTATAATAAAAGTAATAAAATATCATAGATAACTTTAAATCTAGCTTTAATGTGCTTTATCTACGAATTTATCTACAATTAATAGATAATTTTGATTCGTTATTCTATGAGAAACTAAATTAATATTTAACTGAGCATTTGATTATTTTATGCATATTGACTACTAATATTAGACCTGTTAGATATTCTAAGTTTGGAACCTGCCTTGAACAGCCTGATGTCAAAAAGCAGTGGCATCGGTTTTCTCTTGAAAATAAATTTAGCAATGTTTTCAAGTGTAAATAGCCTTTTGGAGCATTGCTGCATCAATAAAATAATAAATTTATGAATATTAGATAAATTGTAATAATAAAAGTCATCATATAGAGATAGGACAACCTGGCTTGAAGTCAGTGCAGCACCTGATAGGACTTGCTGTTAAAAATATAAAAATACCCTAAATAATATTATATTATTGTCATATTTATCAAATATCCTAAACATTGTAATTGTTCATATTATTATATTTATGTAATTTTTGGAACAGCATCATTTAATTTTCTATTGTTAATTACATCTTTAGTGAATTATTATAAAAATTAAATAAAAGACAATTGAGAATATATAAATTTGATTGATAATAAATTGTACTATAAACACATCAAATAAATTGAATATATAGTTTATCAAAGGTTCACATCAAATGCATAATCATGTGCTTTTGTATAGCATTAAAATTGTATATTTCTGTATTTGCGCAAGTGGTGCGGAACCTGTGTTATTTACGAATGGTTCTTGTTGTATCACCAAAAGTTCTAATGTCAAGTTTAATTATCACGCAAGAGTTGAATTATATTAATATTACACTTTGGTAAGTTTAAATACGTCATTTGATAAAAATAAATATTGTATTGTATATATATATGTGTGTGTGTGTTGTGTGTGTGTTAATGTATACATTCCATTATTTTATTAAATAACAGATCAAAAATGTACCATCGAGTGACAATAAATACAATTATACAAATTTTAACTATAACCGTTACCATAAATATTTTTGTAAAATAATATCTAATATCCACCAAATGCGAATCATTGTAAATTCTTGTTAACATAGAATAAGTCAATTTTATGCTATATTCCTTTTTGAACGACGTCTACTTTTTCAAAAAAAAACTAGTATTAACAATTTGAAACGCTAAAACAAAATATTTTCATACAAAATTTCTATATTTGGTAATTTTTTATGCAATTTATTTTTCAACGTTGAGTGCATAATAAAAGTTTTTTCTTAAATAGGTTTTTCATAATATAATAGATACTTTACATGTTAGAGAATTTTCAGCAGTTTTAATTAATTCACCAACAAGAGGAATAGTTATAAGTTGATATGTCACATATTGTAATTAATATTATAATTTATCTAAGATGGAAGCACGAGAAATTAATTTGATCTTTCATCAAATCCTTCAGCAGTTATTATTGGACACTTCACGTCATGCTTAGCATGATGAACAGCTTATGTATAATTTTTTGAATTTTTTAGGAATAATAAAAATATGTGGAATATGTTTGATATAGTTACAGGTTCAGTGTCATGTATTTGTTGGATAGTGTAAGAATGTAGCTATGGAATTAATTCATTTGATCATGTTTTTCACAGCAACATATATTCAATTCATTTATATTATAATTTTGGCATGTTTTTAAGGTGATTATTAATTTTACCCCATTTTACGCTTTATCAATTATACGCAACGATCAGCCAATCCGTTTCTTTGTAAATCTCAGAAAAGTGCAAAATTTTTCGTCTACGTTTTAGGCCGCAATTCTGAATGGATTATGAAAATTCAAAAACCGTTTGAAAGATATTGGTTGGGAATCGTGCTGATTAGTTTTTGGTAAAGATCGGCCGGGCCGTTTTCTTGTAATGAAGTGTTAAAAGAAATTTTTAAGTCGTTTAATTTTAAAAATTCTTTAAAGTTTGCAGAAATTAGTATCGTTTTTTTGAAATTTGGCAATATTAGGCCTTTGATCGACGTTTTCGCAAACACGCCTGAACTGACTTCAGAAATTTAAAAGCCATTTGATGTATCTCAATGAGGACTATCATTTGTCAGCTTTGTGCGACAATCTACCAAGCCGTTTCTTTGTAATTTGGGAAAAAGTGTTAAACTTTTCGTCCACGTTTAAGCTCATGCTACCGAATCGAATAAAAATTGTTGATTTTTAAAAATTTGCTTTTAGAAAATACTCCGAGTCAACGTGTTCGTTCGTTTACAATTATGTGTCATAAATCCACTCGGAATACTTTTAATCGCTTATAAATTTTATTATTTTTTATTGATTAAGTCGATTATTTACACATATCGAGAAGTTCATGTAACTTGGCTGAAGAACGTTTCGGAATTTTACTTATTTTGAAAATGCGATTATTTGTTTTTAAAATTTCCGCCTTTATAAATATTGTATTATAAAATATTTCTTTGTAAAAATAAATATTATGACATGTGAAATATCATTTCTTCCGGTTCGATCTCCAGTCTACTATGATCCCACATTATTAACTTTCTGTAAGTTAGACTATAATAATCGCAAAAAAATCGAAAATAAAAATTTCTATGTACCTTTACGTTTCAGAGTTTCTGAACATTTTGGCATACCTTAGAAAAAAAAAGATGGGTGTGTGTCTGCGTGTGTGTGTTCGGATACAATTTTTTGCCGACGATTTTGGGAACACAGTTCAACCGATTTGAATGATTAAAAAAACATTAAATTTTTATTGATAAGGAGGCGTGATGATTAGTTTTTGGACAAGGCAGGTCTAGTCGTTTCAAAGATATGGAGCAAAAAGTGCCAAAAATTGTAATACAATTTTTAAGATGGAGCGTTTGATTTCAATAATTCGAAAAACATGTTACTTGTATTGATAAAATAATGAACTCATTCAATTTTTGAGAAAGTCGGTCTATCGGTATCGTAGAACGAATAAAATAATAAAAAAAATCATTTGGCGGTCAAAAATGATCATTAGACTTATGCACACCAAATTATCAGATATTTTATAGAGATTTTATTGCATGAATTTCGTTTACATTTCTATGAGTTCCGTAATATTGTTTATCCGTTAGACTGCAATAATGCGGCGCTCTACGCAGCTAAAGCAGCCGGATTGCTTCGAAAAAAAGTTCAAAATTTTCAAAATATTTCAAAATATGATTTTTTTCAAGAAAAGTCAATTTTAATCAAAAGTTTCAAGATTCTCAAAAATTATTTTTTTCTTTTAAGTTTAAAAAATATTAATTTAAAAAAATATAAAGAAAGTTTCCTGCAATTTGGCTCAATGCACGATGCCAGTGATAGTATAGAAAAATCATTTACAGCGACTATAATGTGAACCTATTCAAAATAAATATGTGAACTTCTAGATCAACAGAACTTTATTTTTCTCTAAAGATACATCGTTATCTTGATCCAGTAATAAATTGATTGATTTATACATAGCATTAAATATTAAAG